CGCACGGCCGCCGGCCCCTCCCTGCCCGCGCGCGGCCGCCCACTCGCCGGCGCGGGGCCCGGGAGCGATGACATCGACGGGGAAGGACGGCGGCGGGGCGCAGCACGCGCAGTATGTGGGGCCCTACCGGCTGGAGAAGACGCTGGGCAAGGGGCAGACAGGTGCGTGCGCGGGGCGCGGGCGGCGCGGGGGTCAGCGCCGGGGGGCCGGGCGGAGGGCTGGAGGCCGCGGGCCGGATGCTGCAGGCCTGGCCCGCGACCGCGAACAATGGCTCGGCCCGAACGCCCGGGGCTCCGCGAAGTCCCGCAGGCTACGGGCTGCCGGCGCGGCCCAAGGACACGCGGCGAGGCCCGGGGCGCACGGCCGGCTGCACTGCCGGGCCCGCTGCAGGTGCGGCGGCCGCATTGTGCGCGCGCGAGCGGCGGGCCATTGTGCGGCGGAGGCGGGGGCCGGGCCCATCTGCTGTCCCCGCTGCCGGCCGCTAATGGGCTGCGCCCGAACAGCTGCGCCGCCGTGACCCCCGCCCGCGGCCAGGCCTGAGCCTTGCCCAGGCTCGACGCCCCTCCGAGCCAGGGCGAGCGCAGGACCGTGCGCAGCTGGACAGCGCCTTTCTTGCTGCCTGGACCCGGGTGGCTGCGACACTGCGCTCCCCAGGGGACGAGAGGGTGACCGGTGCCACCGGCCTGGCCTGTGAGCCGCTTGGGCCTCAGGGAGGGGCTCCCCGCCGATCCTGGGTGTCTGTCCCGGGACAGGTTAGGTCCTGCTGGGGGCCCAGCCCCCGGCCGGCCATGAGCACTGCGACCCTTGCGTTTGGCCACCGGCCAGCCCCCTCTCTGGGTCAGCCGGACGCATTCACAGCCCTCTTTGTCGGAGGCTGAAACTCAGCCATTTTCTTTCTTCTCCCAGAGGTCCGGTCACCACAGAGCACTTCTTCCTATGGGAGAAGCTCCTCGGTCCGGGCAGGCCTGGGAGAGTAGGAGGGTGCCCTTGCCGGTGGGGGCCTTGGCAAGTACCCCAGGGCTGCCAGAAGCAGAGGGGGAGGCTGCCTTTGGGAAGAAAGTGGGCCAGCCTGGGCTGTGATGTCACTGAGGCAGAGACAGGAAAGTGTCTGGCCCACCCTGGGAGGCAGGAGGACCTGGGGCACAGAGTGTAGCTTGGGTCTAGGGGAGGCGCAGGCAGCTGGTGCTTAGCTTCTTGGGAAACAGAAGTAGTTCAGGAGACCCTTAGTGAAGGAAGGGCCAAGGGCAGCAGAATGCAGGAGAGAGCGAAATAATCTAATTATTGTTCCAATAAAATGTTAGCATGAGGAGCCTTGGGCAGGCAGGTGATGATAGCAGGAGCCGTGCCCAGGGCCGCCTCTCTCTATGCCCTAAGTCTGAGTTCATTCAGGAGGCTTCCGACCTGACTGGTGGCCACGGGTGTCACCAAGGTGTGTAGTGTGATGTTTGGAAAACAGCCCATGCAGCTGTGGGAAGCCGTGCCCTCGCACGTCCTGGTGGTCACAGAGCAGCGTGTGTCCATCTTCCCACTGTGCTGCTGAGGAGCATCCTGGGGGACATGGCCCAAAGTGTACCTGGCCTTCGCACCAGAGGGGGACAGGCTCCCTGCAGGAGGCCTCGGTGGGGGAGTGTGCCCAGGCCCTGTGCCCACTGCTGCCCGAGTTTGTTCTGTCTGGGACTTCTTGTGTAGGACCCACTCCTGGTGTGGCCACCGAGCAACCATGAAGGCGCACGTGGTTGCCCCTTGGTCTCGCCCACACTGTGTCTGTGAGCCCAGGACATTTTGTCTCTCCCTGTCCTTCCCGAGTCCCCCTTCCCAGGTCTTTCCAGATGAAGCCGCTCCTCAGGTGGCTGGGCGGGATGGTTGGTGGTAGCAGGCACCCTGAGGGAGGGTGGGCCTCGCGGAGTCGGCCAGGGTGGTGTACACCCCCTTACTGCCCTCTGGGCTGGCCCAGCCCTTCCCCACCCCTTCAGCCTGGGCGTCCTTGGCCCTGGGAGTTGTTCCTGTCACTTTGTGATGGCGTTTGACCTTGCTCTTGGTTGGCCGGGGTGGCTACTGTCATCTCCCTTCTGCCCAGGTATGTCCCCTGCAAGCTCCATGGTGGCCCGGGGTGTACCCCAGATGGCACTTGGCAGCCCCAGGAGGCCTCTGGGCCCAGAGACCCTGTTCAAGGCCCTGGGGCAGTGCAGGCAGGGGCAGTGTCCACCCAAGAAGGCTCTGCTGTTATCTCTGACCAAGAGATGGCCGTCAGGCCCCTGCCAGGATGTGTGCTGAGAGTTAGGAGCCAGAGCTACTGGGACACACTCCTGACATCCAGCCTGCCAGAGCCTGGAGGGAAGGAAGGTGCAGGACCTCAAGGGTGCCTGGCCTCCGGTGGGCAATGTGGCCTCGTCCCTCTGCCCATTGGTAGGTGAACTGGGCACCTTTCTGCTCAGGCCAGAACTCCCCTGCCCAGGTCAGCCTGGTCCCCTGCAGCCTGCAGCATCTGGGCACTGCGGGAACAGGTGGCGGACAGGGCCCCTCCGCTGCTCCTGGCCTGTTGGGGATGGGGACAGGGGCTGCCCTCCCGCTCACTTGGCTGGGGTCACAAGCACAGGGGCGCTGGGCTGGGCTGCCAGGCTGAGGGGCCTTGGTGTCCCTGTCCCCTTCCAAGGGATCTGTGAGACACCTGGTATAGAGCACTGGCAGCTGGTGGGACATCCGGGGGTGGGAGGAACCAGGGAGGATGGGACCAGTGACAGGAGGTGACGGCCAGGTGAGGGGGAGACATGAAGATGGGACAGGTGACAGGAGACAGTGAGCAGGAGAAGAAAGGTGATGGGGAAAGGCAGGTGAGACAGGAGGCAGGTGACAGGAGGAGAGGGAGGAGACAGGCGAGGTACCCCCCTTGGGGCGAGCCACCACCTCCTTGAGGCACTGGTACCCCAGTGTGGCTGCGGCTGAGCTGGCAGAGCAGGCTGTGCTGCGGGGCGTCTGCCTGTACCCCGCGTCGAGAGTCTGTCTGGGGCTGTCGGAGCAGAGCGGACACCTGCACAGCTGGCCCAACTGCACGTGCAGCGCGGCCGCCCTGAACCTGAGGGCACTTGTTCCTGGCAAAGCCTGTGGAGGCTTGGAGGTGGCCACGGCTGGGGCAGTGGAGGCCACACTGCAGTAGGTGGGGCTGGACGACGTTCCACGTGGCCCAAGATCTCCCCTTGCTGAAGGTGGCTGCTGCCAGTGTGTGAGCTCCCCTGTTCCCTGTGTGCCCCACTAGCCTCCCAGCCGCTACCTCCCTGGAGCTCCATGCCCCTGCTCTGTGTCTGTGGCGCCCCCGCAGCAGCACACACCATCCTGCCCACCGTGTGCGGCCTGGCCTGGTACAGTCCCCCTCAAGGCCGGCAAGCCCTCCTAGGCCAGCAGCGGGCAGTGCTGGGCCACAGTTGTTTGGAAGACCGTGACTGGGCAGCCTGCAGCGCGGGAGCAGTAGAAGCCGCCCTCAGGGTGACCTGGTGGCTCTTTGAGGGGACACGCTGGGGCTCGGGTTCTCTCTGAGGAAGCCCCCAGGCCTGCCCAGCTCTGGAGAGGAGGCCTTGGAGCTTTGCTTCAGGCATGCCGTGGGGCCAGGCTACCCCAGGGCCTAGACAGGATGGAGGCTGGGCCAGGGCTGGGGCGGGGACAGAGCAGGGCCTGTGCCAGGCCTTGTTCTACTGTCTCTGAGGCCCAGTGTTCTGAGCCCAGTGCCCAGGGCCTGGCTGTTGAGGCCACCTCCCTGACCCGGCGGCCTCTGGCCTTTCTTCCTCCAGGCTGGGTCTGGGATTCCTCCTTGGGCCCAGGGTGTGACAGCACCTGCCCAGCAACATGAAGTCCCCTAGGTCACCGTGTCCCCAGGCCGAGCTCAGTCCCAAGTGCCCTAGGGGTTCTGGCCTGGAGGACAGAACCACCCTTCCTGCAGGCCTGGCCAAGTCTGGACAGACAGCTCCAGCCTTTGCGGTTCTGGACTGTCTAGGTGGGGACAGGGCCTAGCCGGGGCAGGGGTGGCCTGGGCACTTCAGGGTCTCCCTAGGGCAGGAGTTCCTGGGCTTGTGGGATGATGTGTTGCCTGGGGCCGGGCTGGGGTATGTGTCCTCGAGGCAGGGCTGGCCTTGCTGGCCTGTGGGCAGAGGCGGGAGGGTGCCTGGCAGCTGCCAGTGTGTGGCTAGTGATGTAGGCGGGGGCAGCTACACGTCAGTGGGGCTTGGGGCCGTGGGTGGTTTGTGGGGGGCTGCCCGATCAGGAATGTGGCATCTGAGACATGCCCTGGGGGCCTTGACCCCAGCTGCCAGGCAGGGGTAAGGGGGCCAGCATGTGGGCTGGCCCGGCCGTGCCCAGTGTCCCAGAGACAGCCCTGGGTCCCTGAGGCTGCAGCAGGGCTGACTTGCCTGGACAGTGGCGTGGGCCTGGCCCGCGGGACTCACCTGGGCAGGGATCTCACTGGTGCAGCATGCGCTCCAGGAAGCACTGGCTAGAGGTGGCTGCTGACTAGCAGGGGGGCAGCCCTGAGGCTAGGCCCCAGTAACGCAACCAAACAGTGAAGGCTTGTTCCACTTCTTCCTGTGCGGCTGGTGAAGCCCCTCCTTGCTCCAGCTGCCCTCCTGCCTGGCCTGGCACGGCCTGGGTGGTCTCAGGAATGCTGGGCTGGGCAGGCAACCTCAGAACCGGTGTGGCCCATGCCAGACTTCCCGACTGCCCAGCTGTTTCTGCTTTGCATCTTCAGGGCCCTCCGCCTGCCCAGGAGTGCCTTCTTCCCCAGGGCGGCAGGGGCTGTGGGCCTGACCCTGCCCGCCCTGGGCACCAGCATCCATGCCATCAGGGTGCAGGGCAGTCTGGGCCCCAGTGCCCAGGTGGAGCCCAGATCGCAGTCCAGGAGTCACGCTGCCCTGCCTGCTTTCCCTCCTCTCAGCTGGCCGGGGTGTGGCTGAGATGGCGCGGCAGGACTGGGCTTGTGCATGGGTAAGCAGGGCCTGGCTGCCACGGTCCTCAGGCCTGCGATCACGGGAGAGGTGAAGGAGGGTGGAGCGGGTAGCTGCTCCTCCCTGCAGACGGGGTTTCCTAGGGCCCTTGGTGGTGGCGAGTGGGAAAGAGGATGGGGATTGTGGCAAAGCTGGCTGGCCAGCTGCGCCCAGCCAAGGGGATGCTGGGCTAG